CCGATCTCGCTAAATTAATCCACTGAAAATCAATCGATCGCTCATTTCACTTTGACAATTACCTCCTCGTACACCCTCAGACGTTAAATCTTAAATTTTTATTAATATTCTTCGTTAGAAAACCTGATGCTTTAATTTGACACCAGTAGTTTGCACACATATAACGATTAAGTGATCTGTAAGTGTATTTCTGTAATTAGATTTTAGCATAGACCAAGTTTCCTAGGGTTAAGTAAAGTTACGTCTCCAAGTCCTTGTCGCTGACTCATTTCAGCGTCCGGTGAAATTGTCAAGTATTCTGATCTTCTTAATGCCGAGTCGGTTCGATTACTGCATTTAAAAACAATATAATTCTATTAAATAAAACGTATGTCGCCTTCATATGACCTCTACCTGGCCATCTACGAAAAAACTAATAACACTAGATTGATGTCCCCTTGAAACCATTCAATTTTTTTCAAATCATTTTCTCATACAGTGGATAGTTTTCCAGTAGTTCGTATGTTTTTTTTTTATAACCAGGCACCCTGTATAATCGGGCGTGCGTCGGTTAAATAAAAGCGTCCGGTGGTCGTTCGAAACGCGCCGTTCGTTTTCACGGAATGAGAGTCACGGTTCGCGCCGCCGCCGGCAGCCCGGTAATATTTCGCCGCGTGGTACGGTTGCATATTTAAGGGTTGCCATGTCAAGAGTCAAGCGCGCCCTTTGAATACATTTAAATTCATTAACAGTAAAGGCTATGTTCCCGTAAACTGCGCCGCGCGCACATGCGACACACCGCACCCACACGAAGTACAATCGGTGGTCGTGGGATGTCGATATACAGCGTGTTGGTAGCGAAATTGCGTGCGATCCGGGGATCGATCGAGGATTTTCGCAGTGATCCACATTGGTTAACGAGAGACCTACCCTTTCTGTTCCAGGTTATTGGGAAAATCCGTGGATCAATATGCCGCATACAGGTGAGTTTGCACGGTCGTCGATTAGTAACCGTTTCACGGAACAATTCAACCCTGTTGGGGTGTCTTTCGATCCAATCGTATTTTACTTCTTTTTTTCATTACACATCGACCTTGTAGTATTTCTCAAGCTAATTACTAAAACTTTTGAATGCGCATGAACGTCGGCAGTTTATTAATATGTATGTGTTTCTCCTTTCTTATTCGTATTTCACGTGTACCGCTGAATCGAACACCATAGCAGGGTTAATTGTTGCTTCGTAAGCGTACGAACGAAGTGTAAAAAATTTTGAAGGAACCATGGGTGGGAACTCAACCGGTCTCTTGAAGAATTATGTTGGAGTTTCATTCATTTTTAAACTGCTTTTATTTGTAATATACAGACTCTTAATTATTGAAACAATAGGGATTTTTCATCTTGTATTCGAAAGCTTCGAATAAAACTTCGAATAACTTTCGGTAGCTTGCTTATTCGAACCGTCGAATGCCGAACGTCAACGACCTAGGGCCGAGACTGGGCATTTAAAGAAGTGAAACAATGTTGTGCAATGCCTCGTCGAGTAAAGCGCCGTATCTTATGGCTCAAATGTGAGATCGGTAGGTGAAGTTGCAAGATACATAGTTGTACTTTAAACACCCAGTGTCGACACCAGGTCTTTGACGCTCGGCGTCTGACAGTTCTAATAAGCACGCTGCCGAAAGTTATTCGAAGTTTTCTTCAAAGCCTTTGCATAAAAAATAAAGTTCCAGATGAAAAATTCCTACTGCTTCATCAATAGCATGATATATAAATTGTATCTGACTGTGAGATTCAATATTTTACAAGTAAACGCAGTTTGAAAATCAATGAAGAGAACGATTTAGTTCCGACCCATGGTTCCTTTAAAAATTGTTATCCTCACGACGAGTAGAATATAATGCAACGATAAAAAAATTTGACCTTCAAATTCAAGGTCAAGGTCAACTTCACGGTAAAATTTTCTTAATTGTATCTCCTAATCGAATGTGTAGAATTCGCCCATGGTAGCCGCCACAAGTAATTTCTTGACATCCTGTATATTTAATTGCATCGGAATTAAACGACGAAGTAGAGACTAAACGAAGAAAGTAACGAGTACACGTAGAAAAACGCGATCGAGCTGAAACTTTATCGCACAAACCACACGAATCGAACTCCTTTGGAATCCATGATTCCTCAAGGAGAAACCGAAATACCAATCGAGAATCCCCCATTACAATTCGACGCCCGTGTAAGTAGGATTCGTTCGACGTGGTCTGGCCGGCGAAATTATTAGCGGCACTAATACAACACTGTCCGGCTGATAGCCCGGCCAGTAACCGGCTTTCTGATTTATGCAACGATGTGGCTCGTCGTTATCGTTTCTCGGACATTTAGCACGAGGTCAGCTACCGTCGGCGAGATCAGAAGACGAGTCCGTTCGGAGCAATCGACAGCAAAAATTAAAATCACTCTGCCCCCCCTTCCCCTTTCTCTCTATCTCTTTCTTCTTCTCTACTTCTTCTACCAGCGCGACGAACTCGTATTTTCCCTCCTTCAGCCGGGTGCCCGTATCCGTTCCCGAGCGATTGGCTCGAGGCACCGGCTAAATTACGATTCGGAAGGTAGTTTGACAGTAATTAACGAAGAATTTTATACAGCGGATCGCGAGCCAAGATCTATGGACCCGTTATTAAACGACTTTAATTACATCGCGCTGTCCTCCTCCCTCGCCTCCACCAACCTTCATCCTCCTCTGCTCTTTATTTCCAGCCGTCTAATGCCCGAGCACAATGTAGATACCCTATGAAACGCCTGGCGATCTTCTCTTGTGAACTGAATTTTTAAGGGGTTAGACTTTTGTATCTGGTTAAACGTGTGTACAGGGCGTTAATATGGACACTTTCAGAGAATGGATTTTGCAGGCTGAATTAAGAGAAAAATCAAGAATGATTAGATTACGTCCGAGGTTACTTTTTCGAGTTATTAATTGTCTAATATACAGGTGTACTCACAGAATTCTATATTGTACAGGGTGATTCACGAGAAACAGAACACGTAAATATCTCTGTTAGGATTGAAGGAAAAGCCCTGTGTCTATATTAGAAATGTAAATGTAGGGGTGAACAAATGCACTCGGGCATATCTACCAAATAACAAAAATGTGAGCGAACAAATACGATATCTACGAAAAAAAAAAAAATAAAATAATGTTGTGTAAAATTGTTGTCGATCAAGTCTGGTGTCGGTCAAAGCTGTTGTCGATTAAGTCTGGTGTCGGTGATTTCAATGGGACCCGTTCAACTCTATCCAAGTGGGAATACCTCTTTAACGCCTGACGAGCGTCGGCTTTAGACGCAGACGCGTCAGATACGTTGAGTCCCGCCTTCAGGATATCCGTACTAACATGATAGAGGTTGTTTGAGTTGAGGACACGCGGGGATTCAAGATCGACTCAAATTGCATCGCGTGCCCCGTTGTACACTGGGAACGAGAGAGAGAGAGAGAGAGAGAGGGAAGCAAAAATCTGTTAGCGTGGATGGATCGTGATTACAGGTAGGGCAGGTGTATAGTTTGGTCAGGGCCTAAATGGCAAGCGGCGATAGCGATCGCCGTTCGCTTGCATTAGTCCGCTAATTCTAAGCTAACCATTATTATATACCCAAAGATACTACGCTCTTGCGGCTTTGCTGCGCTCCGTCGCATAAATACCTTTTTCTTCTTCTTTTCTTTTGTTATCCTCCCAATTTTATGGCTTACGTGGCGTTACGTGCCGGTATGCAACGCCAGAAACGTACGTTGCGAGTTTATTTTTTTTTGTCTTGTATTGTACCATCCGTTCGATCTGTTTCTCCCTTATCAATATATCATTTTAATGGGGGATGAGGTTCTGCATTTCGAATGGTTGAATCAGATATATTAGAAACAGATAGCACGTCCTTCGAAAGTAACTCGTCTCTTTCTAAAATTGGGACGCCGGCCTAGCCTACATTTCTATGTCTATGGTCCAGGGATACACCGTTCTCCGTATGTGTCGTTCTCTTAGAATTATACTTTCAGAAAATACAATAAAACAAATTGATCTTTTAACACCTCCAAAAGGGAATACCCCCAAAATAACTCCGCAAAAAATGGACATATTAAAATAAAGAAAATCTTTTTCATATTTTGAAATGTAAACAAAAATATGCTAAAATCTTCAGAAAGTTTCAAGTCTTCGTGGCATAAACAAATCCCCGAAAATCTCCTTATTCTTAACGAATCACTCGAGTCTCCTCCCTTAACACTAGAACTACAGAACCAGTCAAAATGGCTGGTCAATATATTCTTACAACGACGATTAAAAAGTTATAACAATACATTTTCTCAGATCTCTTGTAACTTGTATTACGACATGACATTAAAGAAATTAGTTAATTTATAAATTAATAAATTTTCAAAAGTTTGCCATATTTATCGATCGAAAATGATATGTGTTTATCGTTGGTAGTTCTAGTGTTAAGTACCCCATCATTTATTCCAGCGCGTCATCACGCGGATCAATCAGAGGCAAACAAACATAATTTTATTCAACCGCGCGACACAAGCGTTCACGATCGAACGCAACTCGTCATTTTTTGTGTTTTTTTTTTTTAAATTTTTTCCCCACCCCACTAGCCAACGCGAAGTCGTCCGAGCGATCTTCACGCCCGATAAATTTGCACCTTCGGGCGTCAGGTCGCGGGGGGATCCGACATTTATTCGCGCTGAGCCCCGCGTGTCTCGCCGCCTGATTTTTATGAAGATAAGGGGACAGCTTCCTGCTTCGTTTTTGCCGTAATAATAATTTCGCCGGCGGTCCCGTCTCGGGTCTCTGTCAGCTTTTCGGACCGCGTGTAATTTTCGGGACGATCCAACGGAGGTGACTGAAAACAGGAAGCGACGACGAGACTCTTTTCGTCCGTTGTAACGTCCGAAATTAAAGGGGGAGCCGAGACGACGGGGACAAGAACGGGGACATCGACTGTGGACGAGGACGCACACACTGCGTGATTTTATTTTTTTTTTTTTTATCGGGTCGATGTAATAATTGCCTCCATAAACCCGAATAAATCGTTACTCGCGGTGTCGGGGTATCGACGATGAGTAACGAGGGATCGACACGCGAGGATTTCTCTCCGTTCTCGATGTAATTACCCGCGTAATAACGTGCCGAAATGTCTGTCACCTCTGGTATGTACCGGAACCGCCTTTAAATCACACGATGATGAGAACCTTCAAATGAAGTGTTTTGCTTTTTTTTTTTTCTTAATTTATCGGTTGTCCGTTATCTTCTTATTTTCGAGTAATTTTAAAGAATTAACGATCGCTGAAGTTTGGAGTTGGATTTGGAAACGGAAGAATAGATTCTTCTGCTGCTATGTTAACCGTTGGTCACGTGACTAAAGATGGCCGCCGACATTTGTAACGTACCGTATCGCTTCTTCATTTATCTTGTTCTTTATAGTTTTCCATCTTCAGTACCTAAACCTACCGTTAACGTAATATTGGAATCTGAAGAAATGATTGTAAATTATTATTACGATCACAGTTTGCAAAGATTGCAAATTTAAATAGTCTGGAAGAATGGGTTAAATTGAATAAGTTTATGTATGAGATCGACTTCATAGTAAGGCGCTTTTATTTTAATATTGAAGTATTCAACCCTCGGCCAGCAGACGCCGGGTCACCAATGACCCATATCCTAGATATGTACAGATTTATAATATTGTAAATATTGTTCGTTTGCAGTTTATATATTTTTTCTCACTTCATATGATTCTATATACGCTCCTACTTTTTAGAGTAAAATAATTGTGGAAAATTAATTAAGCATTGATTGTTTGAAAACATGTTAAGAAATCTACTCGTTTACATGGAATCAATGAAAGATATAACTTGAGAATTTTTTCCGACATACATATAACATTAATATTACTTTGGGTCTAAAGATGCGAATAATAAGAAAATGCAAAATTTTAACAAAAATAGAAACAGAGAGACAACTCCATGATGCCGCTTGCTTCGATGCAGGTTAGATTGTAAAGTCCTATTTCGTAGAAGTTAAAAATCAAATTACAAGAAGTTTTAAATTAAATTTATTGTCAGTGCAGATTTGCATTTCACAGAAATTACCGGAATGTAACAAGACTAGCGTTCAAAACACTCACCGAATAATCAAAGAAAAAAATTTCGACCACCGTCCCGGTTAAAAGTCGCCAAACCTAGTTTCACGAGACCGTCGACCAAAATTCCGAAAAATTCGAAATTTCGCGAAACCACGTTGCTGTTCGACTTCTTTCGCACAGCTTCTTTTTTTCGTTTCATTTCGCCATAAACTCTCGATTCTCGAGATAAATCTCACCGTGGCGACGAGCGCGCTCTCTCGATCCTCGGAATTTAATATACGAGACACGGTGAACAGCGTCAGTCGTACGGGAGACGCGATAAAAGGCGGCCTAATAGCGCAAAGTTTCTCGAAATTTTTGCGTGTCCTAGTGTAAAATCGACGGGAACGGCGTCGCGACGAGCGGCCGACTGCGGGCTCCGCTTTGGGAATCGTAAAATCGTAATGCTCGGAATAAAAACGTCAATTGATCACCGATTTTATATCCTCGGCGTTGAAAATCGTACGAGCCAGATGGGGCCGCCATTAAAAAACCGACGGAATAAAATTTGAGTTACGCCACTTTCAGCGCTTCGCCTCTCCTCCGGGCTGACCCGCGCGATCAGCTTCCGAGAGGGAAAAGACCGAAGTGGTTTCGGCGGTGAATAGAGGGGGGAGGTGGAGGACGATATTAACTATCTCATAAATCCTGCCTGGTGGCCTACCGGCCGCGAGAACTCCCTAATTCTCGAGTCGTTTCGGTAGCCAACGATTACTTAACGGCATAATCATTATGGAATCCGAAAGTTCGTGGGCACCCATGGAACCTATGGGTGCGTGTGAACGTATTACGCGCGACGGAACGTTACGGGTCTGATAATTGAAATGTTGAGTTAGTTGTGCTTGAATATATATATATATTGTACTTTCAGAGTTAGTAATTATCAGGGAAGGTTTATGAGTAATATGTTGAAATTAAGGAGTGTTGTCTGTCAGAGTTTGAACACTCTTGAGTAGTGATGGGATCGAGTATATTATTGCAAGTCGGTTTGTATCTAACTGTGCGGTTTCGAACACTGAGTAGTTTTTAAAAAACAATACTTTTTAGACGAGATAGATTCGACCTCGATATAAGGATTTTAGAAAATGTCGGCTGTGAAGAGGAGGACCCCAACATCGTGTAGGCAATATTAGGCATCAGTTGTTGTAGTTACCAGAAAAGGCATACTAATACAAGAATTGTTCTACTATTATTTTCTTTTATTTATTGTCTTCTATTGTGTGAAAATATGTCTTTCTCTACAAAAATCAATAACCATATTTCCCTGTAATTTCATGTAATACATTGCGTGGGATGAATATGAAACCACCCTAAAATTTTCAATTGTTATGCATTGTGGTTAAAATAAAAATGAATTTGTGTTGGAAAATAATGTTTCTCCAGGAAAGGATAAATTATATTCCCTATAAAAAAGTGGTTTGTTGAAAATTGAAGTGGTTTTATGGTAATGATACGCAGTGTAGATCCAGAAAACTGTTATTGTACAGATACATTGAAAGTCGCTTCGATCTAAATAAAGATATTTTCTGATAGAATTATATAATATTATTTTGAATCAAATTTGTATAGAGAATATCGCTTAATTTTATAGGCTTAGAGCCGATGTTCCCATTTGCTTTTGAACTGCCTGAACTGCATTCTCAGTTTCCATAAGAAGTGTAATTGCCTTATCAATAATTCAACGACCGGAAAGTTTTCTCTGCACATGCTCGAGATGGAATTAATCCGTCCTATTCGATCAACCGACAGTAATTTCGAAAACATCTGCCGTAAAATGTTACAAATTAAGATGCTACCGTGAAGTTACATCTTTTCTTTTTAGAGAAAATTTTGCGGTTATTAATGATTGCTTGTAACAGATAAATAGATCTCGAAGACTTTCGCTGTTTAACTTACACCTACAAAAAAATTCCCAAACTCAATTCTAAATTAAAGTTATTCCACTCCCCGTCGATTTTCGACTCACAATTTCAGTCGTTCCGTTTCAAAAGAGGCGCTCAGTCGATTCTTTCACGCGTCGTCTAGCTTTCTGACGAAAAACCATTCGATGAGAAATAAAGAAAACGGGGTGGGGGGAATTTAGTGATCAATAAGCGTCGCCTGATCCAAGATCAAAAGAAGTTCATTAAGGCCTCTGACCAATAAAACTCATAACCTTGCGACAACACGAATTTCATTTTGTAGATAAAACATTCGATTGATCTTCAGATCATTTTAAATTCCACGGACAGGCAGCTGGTTACGATTTCATTAAATCAAACTAACACCTCTACGAAACGACTATTTCTAGTTTCTCTTCTGACTCAGGGATAGTTACGAATATTATTCCGCTTTCATATTCATTTTAAATTATCAAAAAATTCCGAAATATTCAATACAGATATTCCGTATACGCAGGCAATTATTACAAACTATCGTTTAACAAAAAGTGTATATTAATATTAATTTTTTGTCAATATCGGGATCTTAATCGACAGATAATGAAAAATGTGAAAAAAGATTCTGAACAATTTTATTTCCCATGAAATGCATGAAAAATTGTTATAAACCGTAATTCAAAGCTCGGAGAATCATCCGAAAATTAACGGGGGGATAATTTTAAGAAACGTCCTCGTCCCTTTTTCGCCTATTGCCGTCGCCCGACATCCGTTGACGGAACGGTAGATGATTAGACGTTTTCGTTTCCCGACGAAACGCTCGCAGGAATGTCGGGCTGACTCTTCTCGAGGACATCCGACTTGCCAATCGTTATTAGAGGGAAACTGGGGAGCATCTGCCTCTTAAAACCTTGCACGCGCTATTAGCTGATTATTACTATTCCGGTGTTCTCCGAGTGCTCGGAAATGAACCGACCAGGAAAAAAAGCAGCTGCATTTCGACTATATAATCGTTTCGTTATTTCTTCGTTAATGAATTAATTTAGGTATCGCCGCACAGTGGTCCTTTTTCCCGAAAGCCGGCCAAAACTCATAACTTGATTGGATTTTCATAAAAATCGGTATTCTCATATTTTTAGGGTTCCTGAATACGAATATCTTGTCAAAAATGTTAAATTCATAATGAAAGATTTAATATCATTGGTATAAATATTGTTCTTAAATTAATTATTGTGGAAATTGATAATGTATGGGGAAAAAGCATTGTCAATTTTTGTATTGTTCCAAAGTACGCGTTAGTATTCGTATTTCCACCGACAGACATGGCCCTATCGAAAGGGTTAAGGTTTCAGCGTTACAACGAAAATGGATACAGAAGTGGGTGAAAGAAAAAGTCATATATACAGCAACTTTTTAAGTAAACAATTCAATTAATGATATTTATGTGAAGCAGAGGGGACAGATAAATATTAGGAATCGTTGATTCTTACAGGTCAAGCGGGAGTCAATCAATTGGGCGGTGTTTTTGTCAACGGGCGACCATTGCCCGACTGCGTTCGACAGAGGATCGTACAACTCGCTCTGGTAGGCGTCAGGCCCTGCGATATCTCGCGTCAGTTACTCGTTTCCCATGGCTGTGTGTCGAAGATCCTGACGAGATTCTACGAAACAGGAAGCATCCGGCCGGGAAGTATCGGAGGAAGCAAAACGAAGGTGAGCGTTACTTAACCATTGAGAATAAATTAAATGTTCGAATTAATGGGAAATGAACGGCCGATCACCATTCTGGTGTAAGAATTTTCTGTCTTGCATACATGGGTCAAAATGATCATCTTTATAAGTTTACTTTAACTCCAACAAACTATGATGTTCGTCACCTTATGAAACGAATCGAAGAGATTTTTCACTGTATGCAGTTAAAATAAATCCTGTATGGTAATATACATATACACTCCCACTCATAAGTATTAGGATACTTGTCGAATATGCAGTAAATGTAACAGGTCATTACGAAATTGCTGAAAGTCTGAAATAAATATTATTTAAGGGATATTAAAGTACGATGGACAAGACGTGTGCAACTATAAATTAAAAATAGCATTTTTACAAAAAATAATATTTAAATTAAACGTAATTTTCTATTTATAATATCGTTGGATCTTTGCATTTTGTCGCTCGTCACAATGATCGAAACACTTTATTATTACACTTTATATACTTAAAGTTATACTTAAGATAATTGTACGCGATGTTCACGACAATATTCTAAAAATACCATGCGTTTTCTACAATTATACTGCATTAACACGATCCTTCTTATATGCGACCTACATCGGATAAAGGACTTCGTATATAAAATACCTTATTTAGTCTTGGAAGTGTTGTACCCTCGATGACCTCGGTTTTTGCATTTTAATATTGCACATATTAATCGTATTAAGTATTCCGGGAGTATTAAGAATATTGCAAGATCTCTGGCAAAGAGTTTCCAAGAAACCGGTTTACCGAACGCGTTAATGTATTAATAAAAGATCTGATGCACTAAATACCAATAATCTGCTCGATTTAACTAGCGAAACGAATCTTTCGAAGCCCACGTCCAAAATTAGGCAAAGCATGAGAATTTTTTGAACGAAAACTTCCAATATTTCTGAGGATACAAATGTAGTTTTCAGCTTCGTTCTCCAATTTTTTGAAAGTAAAAATATCTCAAAATTGCGTCGTTACTCGCTGATTCCGAAATCTCTTTTGCTGGAACGTCAATTACTGAACGGACAAAATAAACAATACGTCCCTTTTTCAATTTAGATACATTGTTACCACCATCCCTTGGGGATAGGAACAGAGGTAACAAATAAGTGATATTAAAGAAAGTTTTATTTCAAAAAACTGGTACAATATATTCCAAGTTTTAAAGTTTGATGATGTTGTCCAATAATCAAGGTTTCTCGTCGCACAAGAATGTTTTAAAAATTCTACAATATTCAAAAACAACAATTATTAAATTTGTCCCTGGTATCCCCTACAAGCTATAGTTACAGACAATTATATTTTACAACATAATAACACAGACCTGTCAGGTCCAACGTGTGCCCTATAGCGTTCAGTCACTACCCCTGATCAGTCTGCAAAAGGTACACTGACGAGCAAACTCGGCTTTCACTAGGGGAAAAAGTGTCAAAGAGAAAGGGATCTTCTACCACGCTCCTACCATTTGGTAAATTACTGAAATTTATGCCAAATTAACAATCGGTTTAACATTTATTTTAGAACTTGAAATAAATTTCCTAAGTGATAGGAGACTTTTCTTCTACGCCTCTTTTTCCCCTAGCAGAAGCCGAGTTTGCTCGTGAGGGTACAGAAACGAAATTCCAAGAAACCCGAGGGTACACCGAACAGAGAAATCGCCACGGCTCGTTTTGCCCGTTTCCCGTCCTCGCTTGCAATTAGGGATGGCGCTGCGAGAAACGACAAAAAGCGTAATAAACAGGAGGGAAGCAAGATACGTGCTTTATGGGGCGGTGACACTGATGAGGAAGAAAGAAAGAGAAAAAGAAAGGGAGGGGGTGAGAGAACGGACGCTCGAAGTCGTCGGAACCGCAACGGCGCTGATGTGATTTTAAGTAAGGGCTCTGCGCGAGCCGACAGTGCTCGCAATTATTCAAACACCTTGCAGCGGCGATACATTTGCATAATTTCATGGGTTCGCGCGAGTTTTCTTCGACCATAGGCGGCCTTCGTGTCGCGGGGAAATTATCCCCGGGGCCTCGAGTCGAAACGACGTCGTGGGATTCCGATGGACGGTCGCGCCTGCGATCGTAAAAGACGATCGTTCGCCCGAAAACGGGTCGAATTAGTTGCACTTAACGGTCTTCAAGAGACCAGCTCCTCCCGCTTGTTCTGCGAGAAAAAAAAAATTAATTTCACCGTGAACGCGCGACACGCGGCCTTAAACGCGTGTGTCGGATTTGAATTTCAAATTCCCCGCGATTTACGATATTAAACAGTTTCATTGAAGTTCCTTAACCGTCCCAACCCTGTAACCAGCTCTTCCGGGTAGATTCAGCCGATCGTTCGATTACTGTCGGGGAGCGGATTGAAGGTGACGCACAGTGGTACAGAACGATTTAGGAGTTCAGAAGCTTGTTTTTTTTTTTATTTGTTTATTTAAAGTCACATCAACCTTGAGGTTATCAGCGACTACAGTGTCCGAATACATAATACTTAGTACGTAATACAATACACAGTATGTATACATAATACATGGTAACTATTAGGTAACTTCTAGTATTAAATCGGCATGAACTTTCTCAGTTACCGAACAATAATCCTCATCGTTCCATAACCTCATGGGCCATTTGGTCAAACGCAACGGCGGGAACTCATACAAAATTCAAACTGCATTATCATTTCTATCACAAAAACAACGGATCGCCCGCAGCTACACTGAAACAAAAAAAACAAAAAAACAAGGTATCGTTCTCGCTATTATCGCATCAAACTCCACGATTCGAACGAATCTACATCCACCCAATGATTAATAACCCCACATTGATACACTCGGTAACACGTTTCCTACCGAAGTAACTCTTCTCCGCCGAGAATCGCTATCCGCCAGCGTACTCGTCCATTCCGTTTTCCACGGACCCGAAGAAAATTGCAAGTTAACGAGTGTTCGTCGCGGCGAACGATACCGTGTATCCAGTTCGTTGCATACGTGGCTCGATATAATCAACGCCGGACCCGGGGATTATCCACCTTGTACGAGATGCGATCCCGCGAGCACACCACCGTGCAAAAGTGTACGGTGGGCCCCGACAAAGAGGATAGCGTGATGTGTATTACCGGTGTGACGTCACTAATGACAATATAATTGCACGACCGCGTGTACCACGGGCGGATTTCTTGCGGTGCGTGCACCACACACGCGTTTCGGGTTTAATGAATTTATTTTAATAACGCGGCGACGTTGTCGGCGTGCATCGACCTCCTCCGGGTGAATTGCAAACCGCGGGCCCCCGGAGCGGGATTCTCGTGGTCGTCGTTCTCGGTGTTCCCGCGGCGGTGGAAATCCGAGGAGTATATTTAAATTCTGACTGGTGCTGGACGCACGAGAGCATGTAAACGATCGTCATCAACGGCCATTATTGCGGCGTGCTCGTTTTCTTCCAGCCAGACGCCAAAATAGTCAAGTGTAGGATAATGCGTTTCTGTAGATTCTAACCGGCACGAAGTTGATTACCTGCTGCAGAAGCACCTGGAGGGACAGATTTAGATTTTTCGAAATGTCCGACGTTCCAAGCGGATACGCGATTTCGTGGCTATCGAATGCAACGGCGCACGGTGGAGGTATTTGGCCTGACGAGCTTGTGAAAATTATTTCGAGGCGGTCGAATGGAGTTTGGAATGGTTTATGGCTTTGGCGATAAATATAATTAACGAAGCTTAACCTTTTTACTCTGAATATTGCACCGGTGCAACATGTATTTTAAAAGCTTGTTTTTGAATGTCGTATTTTTGTTAGTAAGGATCGGGAGATTCACCAATGGGAATGTAGATTATTCTCAATTCAAGTATTCTGTCGAAAAATAAATGAAAATTATGAAATAGAAGAAATAGAGCGGCTTAATATCAATATTTTCGAGTTCAAAGTAACGAGATAGTATGAATACATTAACATGGCATAACTATAAAACCGTCCTAAAATTTTTAATTCTTCTGTATTGTGGTTAATATGAACCACTCTTTTTTAGGGGATATAATTTATACTTTTTTCGAGAAACAATATTTCTCAATATATAAAAATTGAACATTTTAGGGTGGTTTTGTAATTATGCCACGCAGTGTATATATCAGTCTTATAATTTAAAAATAACGATTTAAGGGTTTGGGTGTTAAAGGGTTAAAATACGAAAAGTGCGTATGATAACAGTAAAATGGTGGAAAAGTACAATTATCAGTGGTCAATGCGAAGACCACGCGATTTGTAATGCGATTATTGAGTGTGTTGCAACAAAGAAAGTGTTTCTTTGACAGAGACTAGTCTATAAACAGAGACATTTGTTGATTTTAATAACGCCAGAACTAGTATCGGGATTCACCCAAAAATGTAACAAAATCATTCCTGAATTATTCGAACAGTAATATACCTTACTGAATTATTGGTCACTTTCAAACATCAATAATTATAAAAAAATATGTAATAAAAAAGTAAAAGTTAATCGAAAGTGTAGTACACACCTACCTAAAAAGCTTTGGCAAGGAAATAATTGACACAATTTCTTTACAACATATCAGTAGTATTAATTGAATTAAGTGAATGGTGTTTTAGAAAATGATTAAAAGAGAAACGCGTACTGTAAGAATTCTTCGCTTTTGATAAAGCATAACGTTTTATGGATGAACAAATGAAAAGAAATATTGCTACATTGTTTTTCATATATTTAACTATCCGAGAAAATAATGATTTTACAGCTTGAACAAGATTTTTGAAATCGAGTTCTGGCCAGCTTTTCGAGTCGAATACTTCACTGTGCGGCCAGTGATTTCAACGCGCGCGTGGAACGATGTTTCTGAGTCCGGCGAACTCGTATAAACGCAATCTGTTCCTGTAGTTACAAGTGGAATGGGGCTTTGAATGCGTTTATATCACTTTTTAACAAGCAAAACGCAGTAAAATAAAGACATTAATGTAGTTTCATAATATTTATCGT